TTCGTTGTTTCCTTTTTTTTTTATTTTTATTTTAATTGCGAACGGGAGAACAAACGGGGGGAGGGGTGGTAAGAGAAAGGCGAGAAAATTTAGGAATCGTTTAAGGTTTGTACCTACGGCAGGAAAAAAATAATAATAATAAACCCGTCGGAGATCTTGTTGAAAATTTTTTTTGTTAATGCGACGTCAATAATTAATGATACTTTTCGTTAATATCCTTGATGATGATGATGATGATGATGCTGATTTGAAAAAAAAAGAGATCGAATAGCAATGTTTGTTTGTTTGTTTGTTTGTTTTGAACGACCAACGAAATCATAAATTCAAATTTTTAATAAATAGGAAAAGTGGTAATAAAAAAAAAAAAAACGGAAATTATGCGGATTTTACTGCGGTTTTCAATCTTTACGTTTTTTTTTTAATTTTTTTTTGCTGTCGTTAACGAGACGGTTTTATTTATAACACCGTTATCACTTCCCTCCCCCCCTCCTCCCCATCCAACTATCCATCCATCGTACCTGAAAATTATTTAATTTTTTTTTTGTTTTTGTTTATCGTTTACTTCGTAAAATTTATTAAACGTCGAATTGTCGAATTGAAAAATTTACGATTGATTATATCGCGTTCGGTTTTGTTAATTTTGCTTTTTTGTTTTAAATACGACCGTAAATGAAAACAATATATAACGACAAGAAGAAGAAGAAGGAGGAGAAGGAGAAGGGGAAGAAGAAGAAGAATAAGAAAAGCCACGACAGAGAAATTCCATCGGTTTATTTTCCTTTAAATAATTTACGTTTCTTATAAAGTGCAGCCATGAAGAAAATAATAAATAATTTTGTGTGTTATTATGCGAAGAATGTGCATTGAAAATTTTTATACTTCATTATCATCGTCAGTCATTCTCCACCTCCTCCTTCTCCTCCTCCTCCCCCTCATCATCATCATCATTATCATTATCAAAATAAATTAATTTTTAATGAAAAAAAAAAAAAATAACAGGCAGGGAGGAAGAGAGGGTGGCACGAAGGGAGTGTTAATTAAAAGAAAAAAGAAGCTGAAAAGTTCATTTGAATCGTTCATCATCATCATCATCGTCATTATCATCATCATCATTATTATCGTTATTATCATCATCATTATCATTTCTTTTTTTTTTTCATTTTGTTTCATTTAATTTATTTTAATTTAATTCAATAAATTTATTTTATTTATTTAATTTTTTTTAATTATTATCATTATCATTATCATTATTATTATTTAGACGTTTTCAATTTAAACAAACAAACAAAAAAAACGAAAAAAAAAAACAATTTTTTGAGAAGGAGGAATAGGGAAGGAGGGGAAGAGGAGAAGAAAAAGATTCGAAAAAACAAATAAAAAAATTTTATTATTATTATTATTATTATTATTATTATTATTATTATTTGAGATTTAAATATTCATTCGAATAATACGATCCGTCTCGGACGACGTCATTTCCGGTACGCGGTTTCACCTTTTAATTTTCTTTCGAAATCTTCTTTAAATTTTCCCGTTTAATGAATGTGCCGGCTTGGCTTCCGGTACTCTCTCTCTCTCTCTCTCTTTCCCGCGATGACCTAAACCGTTTCCGTTTTCGTTCTTCTTCACCAACCGCCGTTTTGGCTACTTCAATTTCCTGTTTTTCTGATTTTCTTCCGCCGACGGTTCGACAACTTGAATTCAAACCGTTGATCGAACGATATCCGGTTTGTCGCCTCGTCCATAACCTTTTACCTGAGCTTCCGAAATTGCTTTTTTTCATCTTTTTTTTTAAATTTTCCGTTCGGGTACCGTTTTAACACGTTTTGGGTATCTTTTTTTGTTTTTTTACCTGTAATAAAGTAATAATAATAATAATAATAAATGTTTTTACGGTTCAACGAACGAACGAACGGGGATTCGAACAGGAAAATTTTTTCTTTTTTTTTTTTCCTTTTCGCGAAATAATTTTATCGGAGTTCATAAATATTTTGGAATTTAATTTGGTTCGGCCATTAATTTTCTCCAAAAAACTGGAATTTGGGGAGTTTCTATTTAAATATTTCGTTTATTTTATTTTAACTTGTTTTCTCTTATTCTTAAAAAAAAAAAAAAAACTATTTCCGGGGAGGTGTGAGGAAAGCTGGTAGGTCGATTGGTCGGTCGGTTTGTTTTTGTATTTTTTGAAACTTTTTTTTTTTTTTTAATCGCGTGTGGGAATCTCCTGGGAGTGTTTTCGTGATGGTGGATACATTCTTCACCCCCCCATGCAGGTTTGAAAGTTAAAAATAAAAGCGAAAGAGAAAAAGAGAAGAGATGGTTTTTTGTAAAAACTTACCGGAAGTGTGATTTTGTCGGATGATAAAAATAAAAATTAATTGAATTACCGTATTAAACGTATTAACGAGCGAGCGAATACAAAAGAAAACAAAAGGAGAGAGAATAAATGAGAATGAGAGACACGAAGGAAATTGGGGAAAAATGAGAGGAAAAGCTAAAAAAAAAGAAACGATGAGAGGGAGAGAGAGAAAGAGGAGGAAAAAGAAATAGAAATCGAACGAGAAAAAAGGAGAGAGGCAAAGGGTAAAGAAAGAGAGATCGAAGGAGGAAGAGAAAGAGAGAGAGAGAGTAACAAATCAAAAATAAAGTTTAATTAAAAAGTTTAAAAAAAAAAAAAAGAAAAAAAAATAGTGATAATTTTTATTGTTTGTTTGTCAATGGAAATAAACACCGTCGGGAAAATATATTATTATTATTATTATCTTTTCCGCCATTCAAGTAAAATTGTCACGAAAAAAAAGTAAGAGAGAGGAGGTGGCGGGGGGGGGGGTAAAAAAAGAAATAGAAGATTCGAGAAGAAAATTTAATTTGGAAAGTTACCCTTGTTGTCATTTGAAACGATTTCGTTCTTACTGCGATTCTACGAAATTTTCCTTTTTTTTTCCTTTTTTTTCCTTTTTCCTAAGGGCAAGCATTTCAAGTGCGATTCGATTTCCAAAAAAAAAAAAAAAAAATTTTTCCTTTTTTAAAAGAAGAAATTTAACCTTTCCTTTGATAACAACGTTTTTCAAAAAAATATTATTTATTTATTCGATAAAATAAAAGGAAATTTTTCTTTATCAAAGGTCGAAGTGATAAATTTTCCTTTTTTTTTCCTTTGTTTTAAAATGACGTTTAATTATCGTGATCTCGGAAAATGTGCGTATGAAGAGGGGAAAAGAAAAAAAAAAAAATTAATAAATTTTTTTTTGGACAAATGGATAATAATAATAATAATAAAGTGACAAAATGTTTAAATGACGTAATGAATTTAATTATGGGAAAAAGAGGAAATGACGTATTGATGGAATTTATTATCACGACCATTTCCGGAAAATTTGTTTCCATCTGGAAATGAAAGTGTTTGATTGACGTTTAATGATGGAGTCTGTCCGTCGTCATTTTTCTTTTTTTTCCTTTTTCCTCCTCGTTTTTCTTTTGCTTTCACTATTTTTATACTTTTTATTTTTGGCTCCGCCCCCCCGCTCTACCTCTTCATCTTTTTCCTTTTTCTTTCTTTATTTTTTCAAATTAAAAAGGAAAATTTAATTAAAAATTGCACTCAAGTGCAAAATCATGTCAAGTTTTTCTCTCTCTCTCTCTCTTTTTCGGACTCGATTCCAGAAAAGATTTTTCTCTTTAATTTTATCCTTTTTTTCCGTACGTTTTCTTACTTTATGGTATTTGATAAAAATTGTCGATAATCGGAAAATTTAATTCTAATTCAAAATTTCCCCCCATCTTATTATTATATTATTGTTCCCCCGTTTTATTTTTAAATCGCCGCGAAATCCGCGAAATGGAAAAAATAGGAAAAACCGAAAAACGGGAGATAAAAACCGCAGAAAATCTGTCGTGTGTCGGGATTTTATTTTCTCCTCTCTCTCTTCTCTTCTTTTCCCTTTCCCTTCCCTTCCTCTCCCATCCTTAACCAACGACAGATTTTTAAAAAAATTAAAATCGGGGGCCGATAACGACAGCGACGCGACATTTTGTTTTTTTAAAATGAATTTACGGTTTCCCCCTCCCCCTTTTTATAATAAAAAACTCTATTATTATTATTATCATTATTATCATTATTATTATTAATTTATTTATTTATCGAGTCGACGAAATGAGAGTTTCAATTTTTTTAAGTGTTCTTTTTGGTTTTTAAAAAGGAAAAAAAAGAGAGGAAGGGAAAAAAGGAAAAGAAAGAAAAAAAAAATTAAAAAACTTGGCAGGTTTTTTTTTCTTTTTTTTTCTTTCATCGGTTGGCAAAAGTGTGCGATCCTTTTCTTTTCCTGTTATAAAAGCTTTTTTTGTTAAATAAAAAAAAGAAAAAAAAGAAAAAATTTGTCCGTCAAACTTTTAAAATTACTTTAAAAAAAAAAAAAAATTTTTTTTTATTTATCTGACGTTATTTATTTATTTATTTATTTATTATTATTATTATTTCTTCACGCCGCTTCGGAAGTTGAAAAAGAAGAAAACTCGGAAAAAGAGATAGAGAGAGAAGAAAAACGGGGAGAGAAAAATAGAGAAAGAGAAACGGGGGCGAGAGAGAAAGAGAAAGGGAAAGAAACGGGGAGAGAAAGAGAGTATGGGAGAACAACGGGGAAAAAAGAGAGAGATAGAGAAAGAGAGAATCGTATCAAGTGTGCGTGTGCGTGCACGTGTTCGTTTTGTACAAATTAATCCGTGCGTAATGAAAATTTCGAACAACTGTATTAATTCGATATTATTATTATTTTATTTTACAGATTTCGCATCATCGGATCATCGTTGCCAACAACATAAGACACAAAATAGAAAAAAATATGATAATTGAGTGAAAATCAAAAGAAGAGAAAAAGAGAGGAGGAAAGGAAAGAAGAAAGAAAGAAAGAAAAATAAATAAATATATAATAATAATAACAACAAATGTGATGAGCTTGGCGAATGGATCACTCGTGTACCCGATCATTGTTTTTTGGTTATTCATGTTGATGACGAGGGAAACTCAATTAAAATCAAACGAACAGAACGACGACGACAACAACAGCGGCAACAGCGACGACAACCTCAGCCACAACCAAATCAAATGCGGAGAATATTTAAATACGACAAACGGAATAATACAAACGCCGGGATTTCCAAAAAGATTTCCCGTACCCATACGGTGCCGATGGATCATAGATGCTTCCGCTCATACGGAAAAAAACATCGTCGTGTATTTAACACAATTATACGTCACGACCGGATTAAAATTCACGGATTACGTTTATTACGAAAAAGAAAGCGGATTGAAATACAGCGAAAGTTCCGGTCACATCGTCACGCCGGAAAACGTGACGACGAGTCCTTGGATACGATCATTCACGCCCTATCTCGTCATCGAATTCGAATTGGACCGATTGGAGGGCAATCATTTGAGGTTTTTGGACGACAAACACAACGTTTATTTCATGTACGGTTTCAACGTGACGTTCGAACTCGTCGATCGGGATGTGGGCGTTCGGGAGAGTTGCAACGCGAGAATATGTTCCCTGTTGGGAGAGTGTTACGCGAACGCTAATTACACGAAATACGAGTGCTCTTGTTTTCAAGGATTTTCAGGGCCCAATTGTGCTCAAGGACCACTTTGCGAGGGTCACACTTGTAACAACGGGGGAACGTGCGTGTAAGTTTTTTTCCATTTTGATTTTTTTTTGACCTTTGCGCGATCGAACGTCCGAATGTCCGAACGAAAGAAAGAGAGAAAAAAAAATTTTTTTTATACGTTGTTGCTTCGAAAACGTGGTCGGAAGTTAAAAATCCGTTGAATATCGTAAAGGATGGTGGGCGGTGGGGTAGGGGGGGTGATTGGGGGGGGGGAGTGTCGGTACAGAACAAATCGAAAATGATATATGAGACTCCGAATGATTTTTTTTCTATCGGTTCCCGTCATCGAAAAGTGAAATATTAGATTTTTTTTTTTTTTTTTACTTTTTTTATGCTTTCGGGTATTCTTTTCCCTTTTTTCATCGTCTTATTTTCATATCCCAAAGATTTTCTTTCACTTTTCTTTTTTTATTACTCTATGACATGCGTAGATTTTTTAATAATTATTAATATCGGTTTTACAAAAATTTTTTTTTGTTGTAGAAAATTCATCCGAAAGAAATATTAAATAAAATAATAAGTTTAAAAACATTTACGTAAAATCTAATAATGATGATGATGATGATGATGATAATCTTTACATTTTTCGTGAATTTTCTCCCGGTGAAAATTTTCTCGTTTTTTCCGGCCGACTTCCTTTTCTAATTTACGCCGCTTCTCATTGTTTATTCAATGAGTATATAAATTAATGCGAGGGGAAGGGAGAGATTTTTTGCAAAAATCTTCATCTTTTTCTCTTAAATCTTTTCTTTAACTCGTTTTTTTTTTCCGGAAATAATAATAATAATAATAATAATACATTAAATACGTATTTGCATTTATTTAACGGACGGTTTTAAAACGACGTCCTCGTCATCGTCGTTATTTTTTCATTCATTTATTTATAAAAAAAAAAATTTACATTAACGGTTTTTTTTTTTCATTCTCGCGGTTATTTCCGGTAATTTTTTTCCCCCTTCCGCTTATTTTTTTAATTATTTTTAATTTGAACGAGACAAGGAAAAAAGGTTGAAACACGTAAATGAATTAATTACTCGCACGCACGTGTGTGTGTTTATATGTGACGTCAAACGAGTTTTTCAATTCAAAGAACGAAAAAGAGGAATTTTTTTTTTTTTTGCGCAATATATAAAGCACTTCTTTTGTAATCATCTAAACATGTGTAACGTAGATTTTCTTACGTTGCATCTCGTTTTTTTATTTTTTTATTTTTTTACGTTCAATAAGATAATTAACGTTGCCTCATTATAATTATAGACGCTCGAGTTCATTTTAAAAGAAAAAATTTAAAAAAAACGAGCGGAAATTCGAAAGACGTGGAAAAAGAAAAAAAATTTTATTACGCGCGTTTTTTTTTTTTTTTTGACGTGCGTTCGTTCGTTTTTCGTGATCTCATCGTCTTTTTTTATCTATTTTTTTTTCTTTCTTTTTATATTATTATTATTTTATTTTATTTTTTAATGGAGGATTATTAGAAATTCGAAAAGCCTTTTTTTTGAGGGGGCGGGGTTGGGGGGAAACGGCAATAGAAAAAAAAAATTTATATAATATATATTTATAAAAAAAAAAAAAAAAGGGGAGGGAAAAAAAGGTCGAGAAAAATATTTTTTTTAAGGATCAAAACTTTTTAAAAGAAAAGAAAGGAAAAAAGGAAGGAAAGGAGGGAGGGAGGAGGAAGGAGGAAGGAAGGAAGGAAGTCGAGTCGTTTGGGAGCCATTTCCGCCGTGTAAAAAAAAAAAAGAAAAAAAAAACACTTTAGATAGAAATAAATTTTAAGGTGGCGATGATGATGATCGGGTCCATTTTTTTTTTTTTTTTATAACGCTTCTCGGAAACGAATGATAATAATAATGATAATGTTGGTAGTGTGGGGTGGGGGGATGGGTTAAGTTTCATAATAAATAAATAATTTATTCATATTAAATAATTTTTTAAAATCATTTTTCCAGTCATTCATCCGCCGTTTCGTTTGGATGCAAATGTCCGAAAGGGTTCGTCGGTTCCATGTGCGAATTCCCGCTCAAATTAGGTAACGTATTATTGACAATGATGATGATGATAATGATAATGATGTTGACGATGATAATGATGATGATTTTATTGTTTTACACGACAGCTTGCGATGGGAAAGATTGTAACGAAACGGAATGTTACTACAACGGATCGTCGGAACCGACTTGCGAGTGTGAAAATCCTAAAAAATTATCGAAAGGTAAACATTATTCTTTTTACACGATGTTATTACCCCCGGGTAATGATGATAATGATGATGATGATAACCGAGGTGTATAGTAGTACGGAGATGAGTTAAAAAGAAAATTTTCTTTTTTCTTACTTTCGGTTGTGGATTTTCCAGTCGAAAAGAAGTTTCGCGTTACATTTACTTAAAAGCTTTTTTCCTTTGCCTCCCCGAGAGTTTTTCCTCTCCATCCATTGATTTAGAAAACAACCACCCTGAACTTTTTGTTTTTTTTTGGAAAAGCGAGTAGGAAAAGAAAGTAGTAAGATTATGAAAGGTTGTGCGTGTGTGCGTGTGCGTGCGTGTGTGGTAAAGCTCAAAGATGAAGAGGAAAGGAAGGAACCTGGATAAGAGATTTTCCCGTAAAAATGACATACGAACGACGAGCTTTTTCATCCCTCCTGAAAGCTTTCCAAATTTAACCCTTTACCGTTAATTTAATTTTGGAATTTTTTTTTTTTTCTCCAGTAAAAGTTAATAATAATGGACGATTTCTCGAAAACGAGGATTAAGTTTTTTTTTTTTTCTTCCTCCAGTGATTTAAAAACTTTTTTTTTTTTCTTTCTTTTTTTTAATTTTTAATCTTCGGTTCCAAAAAAAAGTAAAAAAAAAACTGGAAATTATCCGGTTTTTTGGAGAAAATTTTTTTTTTTTTATAAATATTGAATTTGATTAAATAAAAGAAAATGAATTAGGGAATGAGTGAATGATTGAATGAATGAGAATAAAGTTTTTTAATTATTTATTTAAGTAGTTTTTTTTTTTTTTGGGTTCTCCAGGAATTTTCCATGGGTTGGGTTTTTTTTTTTTTGGTTAATTATTTAGGAGGAGGAAGAGTAAAATAAAAAAAAATTTGAAGGGGAGGGGGAGTCCACGATTATTCGATCGTTTTTGTATTCTCATCCTTTTTCATTCCTTTTTTCATTCTCCAGAAAGAAACGAATTTTTTTTTTGTCCAGTAAAAATATATTTTTATCAAAGTTTTTTTTGTTTTTGTTTTTTGCTGATGACTTTTGATTTTTGCCAAAAATGAAAAACATAAATAAAAAAATGGTCGGATGATGAATTTTTTTTTTATGTACGACGTGTCACAAAATAAGTAGAAGAATCAAAAAAAATGAAAATGAAAAATATCTTTTTCGTCATCATCATCATCATTTTTATTTTTTTCTCCAGTTTTTTTTTTTTTTATTCGCTCTTTCCGGGTTTTGGAGAACGATCGTGGGAAAATTTTGAAAGGAAGAGAAAGGATGAGAAGAAGGAGGGGGGGCGGGAGTGAAAAGTTTGAATGGAAAACTTTCTTTTTCGCTATTTTTTCGGGACAATGTGTATGAATTATCATCGTGGCATTAGATGGCTTTTTAACATTTTTTCCTTTTTTCTCTTTTTTTTTCGATATGGCGCTTTAAAGTAGTAGTTTATCATTCGCACAAAAATTTTTTTCCTTCGAATTCGTGACAAAACAGATATAAAAAAAAATAGCAGTGTAATAATAATAATAATAATGATAATAATAATAATGTAGCTTTTAATTTTGTTAATATTATCCAGTACGAGAAAAAAAAAAATTTCTGCTGGAGAAGAAAGAAAAAAGGGAAAAACTCAAATTGATTTTACGTGAGTGTTAAACGCATCATCAAATTTAAATTTAACGTTTAAAATAAACTGGAGGTGATGGGGGATGGAGGGGAGGAAGGGGAGGGAGGGGGAAGGGGCGGCGGGGAGGTAAAAAAAATAAAAAAGTACAAAACGTGATGCGATTCAAAAAAAAACTTATCCGAAACGAGACCGTTCGATTTTTTATTTTTTTTTTTTTACAATAATAATTCTTCTCTTGTTCTTTTCTCCTGCCACGTCAAAATAAAAAAAAAAATTAAAAAACGTCCAACAATTTTTTTTTATTTTATTTATTTTGTTTTTCTTCCTCGCTAATGAAGGTGATTAAAATTTTTTTTTTTTTAATTTAGCGGGTGATTATCCCCAATGCCGACGCCGTTGACGTCATTCTCGTGACGTCATAGTAGAAATAAACGAGTGAAAATTTCATTCGTTTCGTTTTTTTTTTTTTTTTTTTTTTTTTTTTTTTTTTTTTTTTTTTTACTTCCAAAGTAGATTTTTATGTTTTAGTTCATTATTATATGTCGTGGTGCAAAAAAAAAATAATAATAATTGGAAAATATTTCACCGATTGGAAAATTTTTTTTCTCTCTTTTTTTTCCTTCTTCTTCTTCTGGAACGGGAAGAAAGAAAAAAAACGGGAAGAAAAACGGGAAGAAGTATAAAACCTCGTTTGTTAAATTGTCAAAATGGATTCGAGAGGTAAATTTTTGTCACGTTTATCAATTTACCACCACCACCACTCCCACCATCACCGCCACCACCTGATGTGGTGTCCTATATAAAGGAAAATGGTTTTTTTTCCCCCTTTTTATTATTATTATTATTATTATTATTATTATTATTATCATCTACTCGAACTGGAAACTTTAAAAATGATTTTTTTTCTTTTCTTTTTTTTTTGTTCATTTGTTTCTTTTTCCACTTTTTAGATTTTGCTTCTTTTTTTTTTTGTATGACGATTTGATTTTAAAAGGTGGAAAAATTTTTTTTAAAGGGATCCCGAAGTGAATCGCGTTCAATAAAAAATTTCCAGTGGATTTTTTTTTTCTCCAGAAAATAACATTTAACGTTTGGATTTATTCGTAATAATTTTCAACGTAATTGTCGCGAGATCAAAGTGACGATGATGACGATCACGATGATGATGATGATGATGATGGTTTAATTTTAATGTTTTTCTGAAGAGAGATAAAAAAGTAATTTTGGAAAAATTCCAGTTAAATTTTTTTTTTTGTGTTTGTTCCCTTTAATTTTTTTATTCGTTTTACACGGAAATTTTTCTCCTTTTTTTTGACTTTTTTCTTTCAAATTTAATATATTTGACTCGACGTTTTAAACGTTTGAAAAATGTCAAGTCGCAAGTGATAATAATAATGATGGTGATAATGATGATAATGATAATGATAATAAAATCGATATTCCCGCCTACCGTCCTATTACTTTTATTATTATCATTATTAACAAAAGTTTTTTCAAAAAAACATGACCGTTTTTTTAATATATAACACGATTTATTATGTAGGATTTTAAACGAGAACACGATTTTGTTTGTTTGTTTGTTTTGTTTTTCCATCGGTCGAAAAAAAAAAGAAAAAAAAAATTTTCTCTCTTTAGTAAATTAATTAGAATCGGTCCAAGTTTTGGCGGAAATAAAAGTTAAGAAAGAAGAAAAAGGCTCTTTCTTTGTTTTTAGCCGTGGTTAAAGAAGAAATAAAAAAAAAAAGTGGAAGAAGAATAAAAAAGAAAATAATTTAAAAAAAAGAAAAAGATAATCATAGGACGTGACTCTTTTTCAGAAAAAAAAAAAAAAAAAAAAAAAAGGAAACAAATTCGGGGGTTAAGATAATGCCCTTTTTTTTTGTTCATCCTCTCTCATTACCATTTTTTTTTCTTTTCTCCAGACTTTTTTTATCCAGTTTTTCTTTTTTTTTTTGCTCCTTCCAGCAAAATGACAAATTTCTTTTTTTTTGTTTTTCGCGCAAGAAAAGTGCGACGCAAAAAAAAAAAAAAATGAAAAACGTTCGAATTATAATTTTTTTCATTTTTTTTTTATTTTCTCTCCGTTGTCGTTGTTGTTGTCGTTTGTTTTGGTTGTTGTTTGTCTTGGTTGTCTGTCGCATTCAACCATTTTAAAAAACGTATTTTTCTTATTAACTCCTTTTTTTTTTTCTATTCATTTTCGTAAGTGACGTTTGTCATTGTTCGCTTAATAAATATTAATTACGATTAGAAAAAAACTTAAAAAAAAGAAGGGAAATGACGTCATCGTGGAAAATTCAACGACTTTTCCCCTTCTCATTCCTTCCTCACGGATTATTTATAAACAAAAAGAAAATTCTGAAAGGGAAAAGAAAAAATTTTTTTTTTTTTTGTGTTCGGGTTTTGATATGTTGACCTTAACTCGAAAAAGATTCGACTCGAGTTGACGGCGTTAAAAAAAATTTCTTATTTTTTTTTTTTTTCGTCGTGGCGTTAGACTTTTTCGATTTTATTCCAAAATTCTCCAGTTTTTCTTTTTTGTATGCGAATTTTTTATTAAACGAAAGAAAAAAAAAATTTTTTTATTTTTAAAAATAAAAAAAACAAAAAAAAGAAAATTTTTTTTCTTTTCTTTTCTTTTTTTTTTACTTTTCTTCCGGTAAAACTTTTTGTTTTCCCCGTGGCAAATTTTATCAACGTCATAATCATCATCATCATCATCATCATTATCATCATCATCATCATCATCATCGTTATTCTTCTTTTTTCTTTTTTTAATTGGAAGACTCTGATTTTTTTTTTTTTTTTACATTTCTTCCACCTAGATTTTTTTGTTCATGTAATAATCAAATCAATTATTGCTTTTTTTTTTGAATTTAAAATTTGTGCGCGCGCGGATCCAAACCGGATGTTACGGAAAAAAAACGGAAAAGATTTTAAATAATTTTCAAATTTTTTTTTTTTTTAATTGTCGTCACGAAGAAAATCATTAAAAAAAAAAAAAAGAAGAAGAAGGAAGAGGAGAAGGGGATTGAAAAAAAAGTTGAAAGAACTTGTCGTGGGGGGTCACGGGGGAGGGGAGAAAGCGAACGGAAGGCGTTAATTTTATTATTATTATTAATATTATTATCTTTAGCAAACAGATTTTTTATTTTTTAAACCGGATAATAAATAAATCTGCGAGTGAGTCGAAATGAAATGAAATGAAAAAAAAAAAAAGGAAAACTTTTTTTTTCCATTAATTCATTCATTTAATTTTTTTTTTGTTTTATTAATTAATTAAAAACGAAATTATTTAAATTATTCAAATAAAAATACATAAATTAATAAATAATGATAATGATAATTATTATTATTATTATTTATGAATTTTTAATTGATTTTTCTTTTTTTTTTTTTCTCTTCTTTTACTTTTCCAAATTTGATAAGATGGATATATATACAAAAGAACTTT